AAAAAAATTCATGGTGTTGCATGACATTATAACAATCATCGTTAAAATAAGAAAGCATTGCTCAATCATGTATGTTATCTTATTTTATGTATGTTATCTTGTTGTTATGTTATTTTATTGTTATGTATTTTACACGTTATAATTAATTTTGATATATACAGGGTGAGGCATTTATAGTGACGCGGGCGTATTTCTCGGAAACGAAGCGAGATATTAAAAAATGTTTCAGACAAAAGTTGTAGGGTTCCAAGGGGGACATAACACCGTGACCTTGGATTATTCTCGGAATGCGATTTTGAAGGTCATTTCGATGTCTACTTGATTTTTTAAAATGGGAGGGTATACTTTTTCTTCCGGAAATGAAAAGAGCGTTCAATTTTGAGTCTAAAAGTACTAGTACACTTATGACCTAAAATTGATAGTTGATGAGATCAAGCGACGCGGTAGCGTCGCGACGCCAAGTATATAAAAAAAACGTTTCGGCTTGTCAACGGTTTGCCTATGTTGCCTATGTACAGGGGCCGCGACGCTACCAAGTAGCTTATCCGGAGTTTTACGTGTAATAAACTTTTGATTCAAAATACCTCAGGAACTAAAGCCAAAATAAAAAATCTAACGGCACTTTTATCATATAATGTGGATACAAGCTTTCGATTGCGACCAGTTTGAATAAGATTGGTGCAGTCAATCCTGAGAACTGATGATCGTATCGAGCGAAATACCAGAATTGTGACATTTATTTTTTCCAACTTTCAGACTCTCACGTACGTATGCTCGCACGCACACACGCAAAGCGATTTTGTCCCTCAAGGCGCGTTCATATCGCTCATGTACGATTATTCTTTCGTGTATTACTTTTTTATAAAATTATAATTTTAAAAATTTATAATAAATAAGCCTCACTAACTATCAATTTCCATTCATCAATGACTGTTTGAATCGCTGTTTCATACGAATACTGTTTTCTAAAGCCCGACTGATGTTCTGTTATAATACAATTATCTTCCAAATACGTTTCAATTTGCTTTTTAACTACTAATTCTAACACTTTTTCAAATATTGGTAACATATTTATAGGCCTAAATTCACTTGCTTTTCTAGCTTTCTCTACTTTTGGAATCGGTATTATTGTAGACGTTTTCCAACCTTTTGGACAGCAACCTTCCTTCAAAGAATTATTTATTATATCAACAAATTCCTCTTTTATTACGCAAAATACTGCCTTTAATATATCGCTAGTTATTCCCTCCTCTGTACCTTTCTTTTTCGGTAGTCCCATAACAATTTCCTGTAAATGCTCTATACTAATCATTTCAAAATTTTTCATAATTCCCTCGTTTTCAATAACATAAATAATTCTTTTACATGCATTCCCAGTTTTACTCCCATTTATAGATTTTACTATACTATTAATACTTTGTATATAATATAAATTAAATTTATCTGCTATATTGCATCCTTCAGTGCCTTCTAATATTTCAAAATCTATATTCTCTACTTCCCTCTTATCTCCTGGTTCGCCTCTAATTATTTCTTTTTGTGTTTTCCACATAGATGTAGGATTTTCTTTATTAATATCTATCATATTTTCATAATATTCTTTCTTCTTTGTCTTAATTAATTTAACTACTGTATTTCTTTCAATTTTAAATTGCAACCAATTTTGTTCCGTGTCAGCATACAATGCCTTCCTATATGCCTCATCCCTTTTAGCCGCTGCTTCTCTTATTTCATCCGAAAACCACTTTTTCCCTTCCCATATTCTCGGAATTTTAAAATTTTTTCTAGGTGCTGTGGCGTCCAACGCATTTACTATACTATCAACAAATTTCTTCGCTCTCACACTGATATTCATATCTTGGTTTTTCTCTAATTTATTTTCCACTAATTTAATAAATTCATCTATATTAAACTCTCTATAATTCCTAACACTAAGTTCTCTGTATTTATTATCAAATTTATTCGCATTCAGTTCAACTTTAAGCCACGCATGGTCCGTTATTTTAGGTTCATGCATTACCTGCATTTCTATTTTATTATTAGCAAAAATTAAATCTATAATTGTTTTACTATCTTTCGTAATTCTCGTCGGTTTATTTACATATTGTTTCATGCCTAAGCTCAACATTGTCGTTTGTAACTTCCTTGTATAAAACGAATCTAACATAATATCTATATTAAAGTCTCCTATTATCATACATTCTCCCCGTATTATTAACTCTTCTATTATATCCTCCAGAAATCTCACGAAATCACCATGCGATGCACTCGGTGAATGATATATTACCATTATTATTCCTCTATACAATTTTTCTTTCACCTCAATCGCAGCACACCAACAATTCGATTCTAATTTTTTTACTAATACTATTTCATATTTAACATCATCCCTTATATATAAAACAACCCCTCCTGTATTTCTATTTTCAGCATCGCATCTAATTATACTATAACCTGGTACGTTCACTTTACTGTCTTCAATTTCAGCAGTCAATCTTGTCTCTGATAACGCTATGAATGCCGGATTTATTTTCTTCATAATCTGATGTTGTATCTCATCTTTATGCGCCATCAAACTTTGCGCGTTTGTATACAATATTATTTCCGCTTCCTTCTGTAGTTGCTATTTCGCATCTTCCCAGCCGGCTCTCCTCTTCTCCTCTTGTATCGCCCTTTTAAATGTTGGACATTCTGGGCTAAGGGCGTCGTGTTCATCACTTATCTTCAGGTTGTATGTTCGAATTTTAAACATACAATTTACACATTTTTTCTTTGTTGCCGTACATTCAATCGCTTTATGATTTCCCGCACATTTGTGGCATGTTTCATCTCGCGTACAATTTTTTTGCAATATGATAGTATCCCCAGCATTTAAAGCATCTTTTAACATTAATGTGATTGAATATAGGACATTTTCTCCATCCTACATTTAGTTTCTCTTTTTTCAACATCAATTCATGCGTTTCTTCATCTACTTCAATTATTATCGAACCTTCTTCTTTTTCTCTTCTTCTAAGTTGATTATTATCATTTCTTTTTTCTTTAACTATTTTCTTCACTATTCGCATTTGGAATCCATCATTTATTGCATCAATTCTATTCTGCTTCTTGATTGTAGTTATTAAGTCATCATCATCCAATCTCATTTCTTCTTCGCTGACATTGATAATTTTTATTTTGTGCTTCATCTGCGGTGATTCCGTAACTTTGAAATTTTCTCCTAGTTTGTCCTGCATTGTGGCTTTCAACGTTTTCATTTCTTCTCCAGTTTCACAACCCATGATCACTGTCCCCTTGCTTCCTTTTTTTAGCTTCGTTATTCCCATCGCCATGTTTTTGATATCTACCTTTTCTTTTATCAATTTTTTTGTAACTTCACTCTCTTGTTGAATCTTGGGTTTGATAATTATAACATTCTCTTTCTTTTTCTCTTTAATCGCTTCACTATAGCTCCTTTGTATTCCACTTGTTGATCCACATACTTCTCCCTGTATCATTCTTTTCAACTCTTCTAGCAGTTCCTGCTTAACAATTCCCAATTCTTCTCGAACTATTTCCTTGACCATCATTTTAATTTCCTTCTTACATGCTGTTTCATCTTTTATTTCCTTCACTATTTTTATAAGCCAATCTATTTTTACGTCAATAGTCGATGGTCCACTCGCTCCTGATATTCTATTTCCACTCTTGGCGTCGTAAACGAACCTGTAGAACCTGTAGATCCTAGCCTGTCCCTGCCGCCCCTGGCCACTGCCGATGCCTTCTTCATATCTGCTTCACTTTCAATTGTAAATCTGTCAAATGGGCCAGAACACGGTACCAATTCTTGATTTTTATCGTAAATCCTATGCTTGCTTACACATCCAGGATGGTAAAACAGCTGAATACAATTCACCTGATAGCAAGACTTGCATGTCACCACCTGATTTTTTATTGTCTTTTTACATGCCGAGCATCGATATTCAGCATATTCATCGTCCATGCCGATAATTATCGGCCGAAACCGCTAATATCAGCGTAAGCGATCAGTCACCTCTGTTCCACTGTCACACGTCAGCACTTTTGTGTCCACCTTTAATGTCTACCTGTCGTGTGAGACTTTGGTGTCCCAGACAGGAAATGCACTTCTCACGCCCACAAATCAGCATATCCCGGCTAGATAACACTCATGGCTAATGCCGGTCTATGCCGCTATGACTTGAATAACTTTCTATCACTCCCCGTAACTATTTAACCGTTTAAAAGTTATTACTTTTGCGGAGCGATGTTTGACACGTCTTCTCCACTCAGAGAGAGAAAAATGTGGAAGAGAGAGGGAGGGAGAGAGAGAGAAAGAGAGGGAGGGAGAGAGAGAGAGAGAGAGAGAGAGAGAGAGAGAGAGAAAGAGAGAGAGAGAGAGAGAGAGAGAGAGAAAGAGAGAGAGAGAGAGAGAGAGAGAGAGAAAGAGAGAGAGAGAGAGAGAGAGAGAGAGAAAGAGAGAGAGAGAGAGAGAGAGAGAGAGAAAGAGAGAGAGAGAGAGAGAGTGCGCATGCACTTGGGAGAAGGATAGCGCACGAGTAGGAAAAGGATAGCGTCCGCATTGGCGTGAGAAAAAGATGACGTTCGCATGCATGTGGGAGAGAGAGAGAGAGAGAGAGAGAGAGAGAGAGAGAGAAAGAGAGAGAGAGGGACGGACGG